TTTGCAGAGAGCTGCAAAAGAGGGCACCGGAGGGGTTTGTTGGGGGAAAGTTCACTGGCGCCGAAGACAACCAGGAGCACCCAAGACTCACCACTGGACTGGAACTTTGCTCAGGATTCCTGAACTCTGTGTGCAGACACATTGCTCAGTGTCTGCCCCTCCAGACTGTGCTACCATTGGGCCTGTGGGGCCTTGGCTTGGATGCAGCCCTGTCTTACTGCTCCCCCTATATTTCCCCTTGTTGTTTTTCTCCTCTCATCCCTCTGTAAATAATTATTTCCCTTGTTATATCCATGGTACTTTTCCTGTGGGTGTGTGTGTTCAGTCTGGGGAGGCGAGGGAGGTTGGAACAGGTGCCCCTGGGGTGGAAGGGATTTCTCCTGCTGCATTCCTGCATGCGCCATCTCTTGGCCAGAGCTGCCTGCAGAGCTGACTCCATCGTGGCCACGAGGGCACTAAAGTTACATATATGAACAACAAGAATATCCAGAGTTGTTATATCTAATGCTAAAAACAGTATGGGAAGAGAGAGAGGTTCATGCAGCAATGATGCAACCAAATTTAACTATGAGAGATTAGAGTAAGACCTAATGTGGGGCAGATTGTACCATCTCTGCCTACTGCAGGCTTCTTTCTCTTCTCAAACATCTGGTTCTGGCCACTGTCAGAGACAGGATACTGGACTAGATGGGTCTGCTCTATGGCAATTCCTGACTCTACATAAAGCAACCTTTCCATCCTCTAAATTTTGGGCCCTCCGTGTCTTATTTTAGAACAGGGTGGATTGATTTAAATCATCCATTTTAAATCTTGTTTTGCTTTTTTTTTAAAGTCCCCCCCCGAAGATAAAGTTGATTCTCATTAGTTGGTGTAATCTGGTATTTCTTTTTTGCTAAGAAGGAGGGTACACTACATCTATACACATTTAAGACATTATATAGCTTAACATACTTTTTTCAAATCCATAACATACATTTTATTGATATAAAATGGTAAATAACAGTTCATATTTACTAGACTGTAATTGTTACTTATGATTTGTATCAAGTTGCAGTTAGATGAAAATTGGAATTCAATACATCTACCTAAAATATGCTGGATTTCATGTATATGAAAAATAAGTTTATCAAAACAGGTTTTGTGTTTAAGACTAACTGATTTATTAAACAAAGGAAGTTAGTGAATCCTCAGTCAGTTAAATGAATTGTTTCTGGTCACGGTGACCTTAAAGATTTTAGAACTGGTAGATCTTGTGCTCTTACAACCTGGATTTTATTCAGATTGAAAGAGAACAAGCTTTCCTGCTTTTTCAACTCTCAATATGTTTCTCAACTTTGAATTAACTAGCTGGATAAACTGAAATGAAGAAAATACTCTCTCTGCACCTGCAGATGAGGCTCCAACTATCAGCAGGTCATTAACAAACACTGGCTCCAGTTTAGCTAGTGACTCCCACCCATTCAATGGCAAGGGCGCCAAGTAGGGAGTTTCATACAGGACAGGAGGTGGGCTCCCAGGCAGAATGCTTAACTGTACAGCATTAGTGTGGAATGTGAGCTCTGCAGAGAGGTGCTTCTTTCTCCCAGCTTGTGCCCCTGGGGCAGGGAATCAGTTTTTTGTTTACAAACAGAGGCAGGACGATTAAGCTAATGTAATTACCAGCCCTTTCTTAAGGGTCTTTTTTAAGGGTCTGGAAGTCCTTAGATGAACCTGTAAAACAGGAATCCCTGGGGGAGGAGGGAGGTGTTGAAGAGAATGCAGGGGACTCAGAAGAAATACAGCTAAGCCTTCTGAGCCAAGTTTACATTCAGAAAAGAGGGAGATAGGGGAGTGAAAAGAAGGGGCCAAAGCCCAGGGGAGGGATAGCAATAGTATAGAGAAGTTCCCACTCTACCTGTGGTACCCCATCACCGTAGTATCTGAGTGCCTCACATCATAGCCCCACAGCGAGGCAGAGCAGTGCTGTTATCCCCATTGTATAGATGGGGCACTGAGGGGAACATCCGAAGAAGTGGGCTGTAGTCCACGAAAGCTTATGCTCTAATAAGTTTGTTAGTCTCTAAGGTGCCACAAGTACTCCTGTTCTTCTTTTTACAGACTAAAGGACAGATTTTCAACGGTTTTTAGGCACCTACTGGGATTTTCAAAAATGCCTAGAAGGTTAGGTGCTTGTAAACCCCACTAGATGCCTAACTGCATCTTCGGGTGCCTAAAAACCTTCGAAACTCTGTCCCTAAGGCCTTGAACTGAGGTCATACAGGAAGTCCAGGGGGAGAGGAGTAGAACCCAGGTCTCTCAGGGCTATCTCCTGTCTACTGGGCCACCCTTTCTCTCTGCTGCATGTTGCAAAAAAGAGGACTCAGATAGGAGCAAAACCAAGGAGGCCAGTTCTCTGAGACTCCAGCAATTGATTCCAGGTGATTGAGAAGGATGTCGTGGTTCAAGCAGCACAGAGACAGACAGAAAGGAGAAACTTAAACGCCAATGGATGGCAGGTTCTGCCCCAGGTTGGGTTGTACAGCAATGCCTGCTGTGCAATTTTAGATTTTAACTGAAAACCATTTTGTTTTGTCATTTTTTGTTCTGAGTTTGAGAAAAGGAAGGAATGAGAAAGTGTCGTCCGAGTATCAGATGTGATTATACCTCAACTTCTGAATGTTTCAGCTGTATTCAGGCCAATTTCAGAAGAACAGAAATTGCATCCACCGAGTCCAGAAAGTCAACAATTATTGTCATGATTTGTATTATTCACTGGGCACTATCTATGTGCTCAGCACTGTTCAGGATATGCCAGAAAATGTAGTCCCTGAGCCAATGCATACAAGATATGTAACTCTGGATAAAATGGCTCAGATATATAAATATAGTGTATAGTTACTGATCACATATTAACATCACAGTGAACATGTGATAACATATCTATAAGCGGAGGCGCTGATGGTGATAGAAGTTTTACTTGATTAAGGACTAGAAGATTGGACCCTCCAACTTTCTTTCAAGAGGAAGAGCTGCCCAGAGCTCCTGTGCCTGTTTATTTTCCTTTCCTGCCTTCAGTGGCCCTGATATACTTCAGAACTCTCAATTTTTTTCCTCAATTTTAAAACATGAAATTTTGTTGGTGTTTGGTTTAAAATATTCTCCTGTGAAAACTGCAACTCAATCACTGTAGTGTTGTGTTTAAGACCCTTCTGGAAAGTAACTAGCCTTTAAACAGAAGTGAAAACAGTGTTACCAATGCTCGTGATTTTGTCATGAGTCTCATAATTATTGTTTTCCTTAAATCCTCAACTCCTGGAGTCAAGTAGCTATGTGATGATTTCAGCCGTCATTCTTAAAGAAAAATGAAGTTTCTAACCCTTGTGGCCGTGGAGGAAGCTTCAAAATGTGACCCCAGCACACCGTAAAGGCTCAAAAAGCAGAATGTAAATAAAAAGATCAAATCTATTATTTTTACATAATCTCATTATTTTAAAGCCAATCTCACAATTTTTGGTGAGCCTGATTCATGATTTTTGAATATTTGGGGTTGACAATACTATGAAAGAGACTATGAGTCAATTTCACTCCTATTTAAAGTCAGTTTCTAGTCTATTTATAGTGAGGTAACACACCAACCATCCCAGGCAGGTGCAGTATAAACTCATGGGGACATGCCCTAGAGGAAGATGTTTCCAAAAGTTAAATGAGCTATTCCAAGCTTAATGAACTGCAAAAAAGTGATGGAAAGTAACCTAGATTTTTCTACAACCATTTCAATTGTTGTATGCAAGAGTTAGTAACAAAGTAAGAATATACATCACATTTGTAAACCTAACCAGTGTCTCTTAAGTGAATTGACACAAGATGTCAGAACATTCAGTATTAGAACTGAGTGGATCTAATATTTATTTGATTTTCTTTCTTGATATAGGAATTAGAAATTACCGGATAGGAATACCGTATCTAAGTTATCTGCAAAAAAACCCAAGAGTTTTCAGGTGCCCAAGTAGCCTCTGGAATCACAGTTAAAGTTGCGCCCCTTTCCCCACCAAAATCTGAAATGGCGCCCCTGTTCAATGATTTCACCGAAACTCAGAAATATAGGGCTGCAAGGGACCTCGTTAAGGCATCAGTCCAGTGTTTCTCAACCAGGGTCTCAGGCCCCCTGGGGAGCAGGTTTCAGGGGTACACCAAGCAGGACCAGTGTTAGACTCCCTGGAGTCCAGGGCAGAAAGCCTAAGCCCTGCCATGCAGGACTGAAATCTGGAGCCCTGCCACCCCCCGGGGCTGAAGCAGAAGCCTGAGCAACTTAGCTTTGTGGAGCACTCTGTGGGTTGGGACCCCAGGCAATTGCCCTGCTGACTACCCCTTAACACCGGCCCTGGCTTTTATATGCAGAAAACCCTTGTGGTCGCACAGATGGCCCTGGAGTTTTTGTAGTGGGAGCGGGGAGAGGGAGGGCTCAGAAAGAAAAAGGCTGAGAACCCCTGGTCTAGTCTATCTGACTTTCTTTAAAACGTCAGCTGCAAACATGCACAGCTTAATATTATTCGTCACTTTAAATTTAAATGAACAGATTATACTTGGGCCTTAATATAGGTCATCGTAATTTCAACTATTTCAATTTAAAAAAAGAAAACTATATTTAAATTAAAAAGCCTGATTTTTATGTATATAAATAATCGAGTTTTATCCACCCTTGTTCAGCACAACCACAGGGGTTCCCTTAGTTACATGCCTACCAGCCTAGAGTACAGTATCAGGAGTGCAAGGCACAACAACCATGCCCACTGCCTGTGTTGCCAGAGATCCCCTGCCCTCTCCCTCACTTTGCACCTTGGTGCCTAGCCAGGCGCCCCCCCACTACTGCTCCTGGAACAACCCCCTGCTCCGTTCCCCTCCCCCTCTTTGCACCCTAGTGCCTGTCCCTCTACTCCCTCCCCCACTGTGGCCCCCGGTGCCAGCCTCCTCCCCTCCCCGCTCTTCCTCCTCGTAGCTCCCGTCCCCTCCTTTACACTCACCGGACTCCAAAGTTGCACTTGCCCATGAGGTTGAGCTTGCAGAAGTGGAGGCGCTCGCAGCCCGCACACTCCTTGCGGACGCAGAGCCGCAGCGGGGACACAGCGATCACCCAGCGGCCGCCCAACTCCTGGTGCACCAGAAACCTCTCGTGCCCCACATCCTGCAGGATCTGCTCCAGCTGCTGCTCAGAGAGCCCCACGTGCTCGGGGATCTTGCTGTACTCCAGCCGCCCCCCGTTAGAGCACAAGACCTTGGTAATGAAGCTGCAGACCGCAGGGTCAGACATGCTTGCTCTCGAGTCCAGGAGATTACTGACTGCGCAGACCCTCCCTCTGCTCGCTCGGTTTCGTGGGCGGATCAGGCTCCTCCTCCCGTCCAGCTGAGGAAAAGAATCGAAACTGAAGGCAGAAAAGTATGCCTTTGGGGGATGGGCGGCAGGGCAGTGATTTAAGGCAGCAAATCAAAAAGTTATGGCATGCAATGTAGGAAGGGTGAAGGACATTTTATACCCAGTATTTCCTTTTTTAATATGGAGATATACCTATCTCATGGAACTGGAAGGGACCTTAAAGGGTCATTGTGTCCAGTCCCCTGCCTTCACAGTAGGACCAAGTACTGCCCCTGACAGATTCTTTACCCCAGATCCCTAAATGGCCCCCTTAAGGATTGAACTCACAACCCTTGATTTAGCAGGCCAATGCTCAAGGTCCTGTGCTCTCCCACCCCCACTTTTTGAAATACAGTTGCCTTTGCCCTTTTCTGAGACATGCGTTTAATCATTCCCATTTGTAGAATTGAGGGTGGGGGAGACATTCTCCTCTCATTTACAGAATAAAGTTATCCTGGATCTAAAGCTAAGGGATACAAGTTGCAAACCAGCAAGATGTTGGTATCAGCTTGAACATACAGTGTAGGAGGCACAGCAGAAGGCTATTTAAACTGGGGGAAAGGAGGGTGTCAGAGTTTTGCCCCTTCTGCCTGACCCTCCTCTTCCCCTCTCTGGCACTGACCACCCCCAGCAGCAGCCTGACCCTCCTGGCCCATGCGTCCTTACACCCATCCCTTCTGAATATTAATGAGTGGCATTGCAACCCGGGGGCATGGCCAAAAAGTAGTCAGCGCCAAGTCCTGGGTGGACCCTGGCCTCTGCAGTGAAGATTAGGATAAACATGTTTATATGCAGGTAATGGGTGTGGTAAGATGAGGCCCTGAAACCTAAGCCCTTGTATCAGAGGCCTGGTATGAGACCTAAGGCCTGAACTAAAGTAATGGTCAAGACTTTGCTATCATAAAGCAAAGTTAAGCTGTGAGCCAGAGGCTGGCCCTGCTCACAGAAGCTGGCAAGAAGAAGGCTGATGTTGTAATTATACACATACCTAAAAGGTACTAAGAACTAATAATATAAACATGTTCCAAGAAAGGTACCAGAACATTCCAGTACAAGCACATTCCACATAGATAACAAGGAACAGCCTGACCCATCCTAAAGATAGGGGCAGGAGCGTAATATGATAGAGTTTTGTTCGAACATGTACAAAGTGAGAGGTGGCACCCTAACCCGTAGAGGGGTTGCACCTCTATACGTCAGGAGAGATGTGTAACTTGTTTGTACCTGTGTATAAAAGTGTACCACTGAAGAGTTGTCTTTGTCTGGCCTAGGGGACAGTGGTAAGTCCCACCACTGACTGAGCCAGTCCATTGTCAGGGAGCACATATGAACTAGCAGAACTATAGACATCTGATCCAGGGAGCTAGAGACTGTGTTTCGTTTGGCAATAAACCTGG